AAAACTATTGTTTTTCTTTATTTTTATTTGAAGAAAACGACAGATTTCATACAAAAAAAAAATAGAGCTTGACTTTATCTTTTAGAAATAATCATTGCAGGAGCATTTTCCATCTGTGGTGAAATGATGGATCCGATTTGCATCACGAGCAATTATTTCACATTTACGAATTGTAGCAATTAATTTTGTTGCTCGATCTTTGGAAAAAAAATTAAGAAATTAAGAAAAACGATTAAAAATGGTTACATACGACAATCTTGACAAATACGAAGATTTTTTGTCAGCTGAATTCGTGATGTACTAGGATTTGCAATGAAATTCCAAGCAATTGCAAGTTTTTCACTATGTGTAGAAAGAACCGATTCGATAGTTTCACCGTCATTTAAAGGTCGTGTAATCCAACTTGAATCATATTGATGGCCATGTTGAAGAAGTTCTGCAGATAGTTTTTCACATTCAGCATAGATTTCTTTAGATCGAGGATGGCTGCGATCATAAGCTCGAAATTCCTAAAAAAGTATAAAGTGTATTATTTGTGTATAAGTTCATTATAATTGTAGACTTACGTAGGATATTCCATTGACTACAGTCGATGTGATACCCATTTGTTTCTTTTGCCCTAATTTGTGTAGTTTATTTCTAATATTTGATGCTTTGTCAGTATCACCAGATGATGCATAAGTATTAGCAAGAAGAACTGCTGCTGATGTTAATGAACTTGCCATTTGAGGGAAGAATTTTTCCATACGATCATATAGTTTTTGTGATAAGTCAGTATTCTTAAAGTTTCTTGCTCCTGATAATAATGCCGCTAAAATAAAAATAATCATATTATTTGTATAACAGATATTAGATAATGCAAAGATGAAATAAGATAAAATGAAGTCATCTTCTACCAAAAAAACTACTCTTTTTAATGTAAAATATATAGAAATTCCTTTATTTTTAGTTGCAGTATAAACTAAATTTATTAAATGATACGAACTATACATGACTATTGATGGTGAATGATCATGATCGTATTCATCAATTAATTTTTGTGCTTCTTCAAATAGCGACGCACGACTTAGACAATCAATCTAAATTAATAAAAAATGAGTAAAATTAATAGAAAATGTTTTTCTCTATACCATAGTGCTATAGATTTTCTCAGTTTTCGTTTCAATACTTTGGAAGATTGAACGAGCTTCTTGAACAAGTCCTGAATGTGAACATGCATTTAAAACAGAAATATATATCCCTTCATCCCGAAATTCTTTTGGCATTTTATAATAAAGTTCAATTGCTTGAGTTCCCATTCCATTTAAACCACAAGTAACGCTCGTCTGCGGCTCGCTCAGCTCTTTCTCGTAGAAATCGTATTCTACAATACTAAACTTTTTGCTTATACAGTTTGGAAAAATTAACACCAGATTTGTGTTCTTCCACCCCACTTACCCTTCAGTTACCCCTTATGAAAAAAATTTTTTTATAAAAATTGGTTCTCTCCCTAAAAAAGTGATCCATAAAATTATTTTATAAAACTAACATCAGATTCGAAGTCTCCGCATCGAAATGCCCCAAAAATGTCTTTTCTAAAAAATCGATTCTCGAATTACCCTCTGGTCAAACCTTCTTGGGACTATCTTTAAGATTAATAATATTAATTAATTATTAATTGCTTTTTAACTAAAACTAACCTCACATTCGAATTCTTGGCACTCGATTACCCTTCGGTCAAACTTTTTCAAAAATTAATAATATTAATTATTAACTGATTATTAACTAATTAATTTTAATAAATCAATCTCAGATTCGAGTTCTCCATACTCGATTACCCATTTGGTACAACTTTTCCGAAAATATTTCAAAAATTAATAATATTAATTATTAACTAATCATTAACTGATTATTAACTAAAAATAACCTCAGATTCGGATTCTCCACACTCGATTACCCTTCGGTGAAACTTTACTCGAACATATAATAATACTAATTATTAACTGATTATTAACTAATTATTAACTAGTTAATTTTAATAAACTAACCTCAGATTCAAGTTCCCCGCCCCCGATTAGCCCTCAGTCAAAGTTTTCCGGAAGTATCTGAAAAATAAAATTTGAATGTTTTTTTGACCCTGCGGACACACAAGCAAGCAAGCAAGCAAACAAACAATTTATGTTTACTGGACTCTTCTCTACGAGAAAGAGAATAACAATGAACTAATTATTAATAAATAATTAAAAGTTTTTTTTTCAAAGATAAAAATAAATTAAACAAACTTATGGTTGTGTATTCAGATTGGTTTGGCTGTGGAAGTTTTTCAAAAACTTCTTTTGCAAGATTCATATGACCAGATTTCCCCTAAATTCAGTTGTATTTTAATAGGAAAATGTTGAAGAAAATCTTATTTGAACATTACCCACATATCAATTAATGCATACTGAATATGATTATTAACAAAGAAATAATTGGGAATTTGTTTAATAATCGATTGAGATAATTTATAATCAGCGATTTGTGATAAAGCTCTTATAACACAATGGAAAATAATTATGTTTCCTTTAATATTATCAACTTTCATTTTATTAAATAAATTCAATGTTTTAAATAGGTTATTTTTCAGATTAAATCCATTCATCATTGCTCCATACATTTCTATTGTTTTATTTGTTGTTTTATCAAACAACGATTCTGCTTGTTGTATATCACCACATTTCATTAATGCATCTAATAGAGAAGCAATAAGAAGAGGATTTGAACGAAATGATTTTGGAATTTCATTTGAAATTTTGTTTACTAAATTTAATGCTTCTAAAGTTCTTAATTGAGCACAAGCATTAAAAAATAGATTTATAATAATTTCATCGGGTTTAACAATTTGATTGAAAAGATCAATTGCTTTCTTTGCTTGATCATTTTGAACGTAACCTTTCATCATTGCTCCATACATTGTTAATACTTTATTTTTTGATTTATCGAATAATGATTCTGCATGTTCAATATCACCACATTTCATTAATGCATCTAAGAGAGACGCCATAAGAATCGAATTTGAATGAAATGATTTTGGAATTGCGTTTGAAACTTTTTTTACTAAATTTAATGCTTCTAAAGTTCCTAATTGCGCACAAGCATTAAAAAGTAGATTTATAATAATTTCATTAGGAGTTTCAATTTGATTAAAAAGATCAACTGCTTTCTTTGCTTGTTTATTTTTTATATAACCTGAAGATAGAGATATAATAAAATGTAATTCAAAATTTGATAGTATTCACCTTTCATCATCGCTCCATATATTGTTACATTTTTTGTTGTTGTTGTATTAAATAGTAATTCAGCGGATTGTATATCATTGCACTGCACTATAAGAGAGAAGCAATTAAAAAATAAATTTATCATCAAAATTTACTATAGAGATGGATTAATGATGTTGTTGTATATAAATCATTTTTTGTACGTGACGAAATAAGATGACGATGAATAGTTTTTCCACGTTCAAGATCTCGTAGATGTGTACATGCTTTTAAAGCTTGTGTAATAATGGAACTTGAAAATATTCCGGCATTATTTTTTGTATGTTTATCAAATAATGCAAGTGCCTTTTTAAATTGTTTATTATCATTCAATAGTTTCATTTGAGTACTCAAATGAAAATTAGATTGAATAGTTACTGAACGTTTTACAGAAACTACTAGAGATGACGAATAATATTTTAATATTTTGGTTAACATGAGATTATTTGTTTTATGAGTTATTTCTATTAAATATAATTATTAGAAAAAAAGAAGAAATCGAACTATTTTTCTGTATACAAGCGTATTGGATGTTCATTTGTGACCAACCGAAGTTAATTCTGAAAATAAATACAGGCAAAGATTTGAATATGAACCGTTCATTATACATTTCTTAAAACTATAATCGATAGAAATACTTTGAAATGATTGTTGGAAGTGAAGGATTTTTATCGTTTGATTACTAATATCATCTGTATTGAACTAAATTATATTTGAACGGGCTGACAAAATGTGAGCGAACCATGTGAACTACAAGCAGTAGACTCATTCCATATAGAAGTATATATATATGGATGAGATATTCAGTCTTTAAAATGTATAATCTTTTTGTTTCATTGTAGTTTACTAAGATTTAGCAAGAATATTTTTTCAAATAATTTCAGTCTATATGCTTTGAAGGTTTGTTTCACAGGCTGTATAAAAATACTGCAGAATGTTCTATAATGTGATATAAAGCTCCTGTAAACCGTTTAAATTATGAATGTATTATCTATGTTTCTTTTTCGATTCGATTTTTAAAATATTCTATACTTACGACACATATTTTCCCACTATTAATGAGGGAAATATTTCTCTCAGTCAAGGGAATTTTTTTATTTTAGCGGCAGATTCTGCACTTCTGTAAAAACATGACGTAATAAGACATTAAATTAATTAATAGTATTTCTTGTACAACTAGAGTTGTTCTTAAAATACTTATTGTTTTATTTCTTTATTGATAATTATACAAAATTAAGAAGAATTGCGCTCAAACTTATTAAATAGTTATAAAAGATATAGAGGCCATCCGTAAGAAAGTATAGTTATTGCTTGCAAACATACTGAAATATTCATTGGTAAACGTGTCATCCAATAATGTTGTACTTTACTTGATGATTTTTTCTCTTGCAAAGAATGAAGAGAGACCTGTGTTTTTTATATCAATACAATTAGAACATATGGCAATATTATATTTCTGTCAATATTTCTATTTTGATAACATCTGAACTGTAAATTATAGATGAATTTATTTTCAAAATCATTCACACAAATTCTTGTTCGTTCATTAATAACGACTAGATCTTTTTTAAAAACATCTTATAGTACATCAGTCATCTGTCGTTCAACTCCAAACGAATCAATTCAACAAAGTATTGTAAAAATACATTCATTAATGTTTATTTTCTGTATACAAAGGTGATAAACAACAACAACAACAACAGAAGAAATATGAATATTTATTAGTCAATATTACAGGACAAAATTCAAATGTAGCACTTGTACAACTTAATCGACCGAAAGCATTCAACTCTTTATGTAATAATTTGATAAAAGAAGTATAGATATAGATTTACTATTAGATATTTTCTAAAAGATAATTGTATTTGTATTCTAGTTAGCTATAGTATTGGATTCACTTGATAAAAATGATCAAATTGGTTGTATTGTACTAACTGGTATAACACGAGCATTTTCTAGTAAATTTTATCAACATTTTGTATATAAATATTATGATGATATGTTATTTAGTTGGCGCTGATATCAAAGAAATGCAAAATACTACAATGTCAGATGTTATTAAAATAGATTTTCCTGATCAATTATCAGTAGTATCAAAAGTTAAAAAACCGATTATTGCTGCTGTTAATGGTTTTGCTGTATGTTATTCTTTTTCTTTTCTGATCTATTTTTGTTTTCTATTTATATTTATTAGTTAGGTGGTGGTTGTGAATTATCAATGATGTGTGATATTATTTATGCTGGTGATAAAGCTGAATTTAGTCAACCGGAAATTAGAATTGGTACTATTCCTGGTATATAGAAAAATCGATTTAATCCTTCAAAAAAAATATTTTTTTTATTGTGCATCTATTTTAAAAAGGTGCTGGTGGTACTCAACGTTTACCTCGTTATATTGGTAAATCAAAAGCTATGGAAATGGTATTAACAGGCGATCGAATTAGTGCACAAGAAGCTGAAAAATTAGGTTTAATTAGTGCTGTTTTTCCAGCTGATAAACTCATAGAAGAATCTTTAAAAACAGCTGAAAAGATTGCTAATCATTCAAAAATTGTTGTACAATTAGCAAAAGAAGCAGTAAATGCTGGTGATATACTCTATTTTATTCTTAAACAAAAAATAATCTCTATCTTTTATTTAATAGCCTTTGAAACATCATTGGCGCAAGGTAATCTATTAGAAAAACGACTGTCTTGTACAACATTTGGTTTAGTATGTAAATATTAGATTAAAAACAAGATGTAAATGGAAGCGTTTTTTTTTTTCGAATCTATTTAGGCTGATCGAAAAGAAGGCATGACTGCATTTTTAGAAAAACGTAAACCACAATTTATTGATCAATAATAGTAATATTGTTATGCTCTTCTCAATGATTTGTACCTTGCAATAACATCTTTTTTTTACATATATACTTTTTACAATCTATTAAATTCTGTCTAGTTTTATTTTTTTCGTTACATCTTTTATTAACAGAAAGTATTAATGAGTGACACATGCTTATAATCAGATTCTCTAGTAGTAGAATTCATTTATTGATAGATTAATTAATTTCCTATTTGTTTTTAGACATAAAGTGATTCAATCCCTTCGAATATTTGAGCGTTCAATTAATCAGAAACGTTGGCTTTCGAGTGTCATTCAAAAGAAATATTTATAAAGCCTACTTGATGTCCTCAAGAGAATATCTTTCGAACTAAACAATAGAAGAAAAAAAATACGCCCACAGTAAGAAAAACTAGATATATAAGATCTCTTTTTCTGAACCGAATAATTTTATTCTAAATAGTTTAGGTAAAATTTTAATAACTTAAATAGGACATACATCTATTTTTGTGTCAACAGTATCTAAATACGCAACTTTGCGGTCAATCTCTTGTGTTCGTTTGTCTGTCATCAACTGGCGGTACATATGTAACGAAAGGAAGAACGATACAAACTTTGTTCAAAGGATTATAAAGACTGTTGCTTTGTCTACTTTTTTTTTCTTCCGCTCTATCATCATTTTATATTAATGTTAAGTCTCTCGTCGAATACTGCAATCATTCTTCTACGTAAAAATTTTCTTTCTTTATCATTCGAATAGAATAGAGAGGGACGCGAATGCAAATAGAATGTATGTGTTAGTTAAATAATACTTTAACATACTTATATTGATCATTTTAAATCGTTAGATTTGTTTAACATTTTAGATTACAGTTAAATGTGATTATATTTTATTCATCGATGAAATCTATATTTATTAACGTATTTAACGTCGATTTTCATCGGTATATAAGTTTACTTATTATCATTGTTTTTATTCGACAAACTATAGCAGGTGTATTACCATCACAAGATTCTGTTTCATTATATACAGCAAATGATAAAGTTGTTATTTTAACAAATCAAAATTTTTCATCAACTGTTTATCAATCGAAAACAGCGTGGCTTATTGAATTTTATGCAAGTTGGTGTGGTCATTGTCAATCTTATGCGAATGTACTATTAGTTTTATCTTTATTTCTTATATTTAATAAAAATAATATATATATTTTTCATTTTCATTAGACGTATCGTGAAGTTGCTATTGATACATGGGGTAAAAATTATAAACAATTATTTTTTTCTCAAATTAATCAGCTTTTCTTGTTTTTGTTTGATAAGGATGGAAAAGAATTGTTCGAATTGGAGCAATAAATTGCTACGCGGAAGAAAATAGTGCTATATGTGACCAACATTCGATTACGGCATTTCCAACACTTCGAGTAAATTAAATATAAAAAATATAATTTTGTTTTTTATTTCGTTTATATATAGTTAATAGCACCTGAAACAACTTTCAATACATCAAAAGCTATAAGTCTAACAGCAAATGATGCAAAAGATGTAGAAAGAGAATTAATCAAAGAACTTGATGCATTACAAATAGCAGATAAAACTTGGCCTCGTTTTAGACCTCTCAAGTAAATTTTTTACTATTATATTTCATATTACTATTAAATTTCTATTATTTTTAGTCAAATTGCATTCAGCGATATTTATTCACATGCACCGACATCTGTAAAACTTATGTTACTTATAGTAGAAAAACAAGATGATTATACTGGTCGACAAGTAGTTTTCTTCTTTTTTGTATCAATAGATTTCATTAAAATTTATAGATTATGCTTGATTTTTCAAAATATCATGAACAATTGACAATTTTTCGTACAACAATAGATGGTAAATTATGGCATCGTTTTCAATTAAATACTACAGAATTACCTGCTCTATTAATTATTCATCCAAATCGAACTACAGAACGAATTAATACGAAGCAAAATAACAAGTAATTCAATTGCATATTCAAACAACAAAATAATCAAATTTTGTTTGTTATTATTTTAGTGAAAATATGGGTAGTCGAAATTTATTTAATTATGCAATCCGATCATATATTCATGAAAAAAAATGTATTGATGATTTTAATGATCGTGATCTAGAAGAAATAATTCATAGTAAAAATGCACTTAAAAATGCAGACAAATTGAAAATATCAGATACTGACGAGAAAAAAACAGATGATGTAGTAGAGACAAATACTATTTCTGAAAAACTATCTATGGTCGATCTTGAAACAGCTTTATCATATATGTTACGACGAGAAATACCTCGAATTAAAGAAATTCAAGGTGAAGCTTATGATGCATTACTACATTGGTTGACTGTACTTATAAAGGTATATTGTTATTTATATTCCTTCTTACTAAAAATCGTTCGTTATGTAATACAGTCGGATTCAATCCAATAGGGATATTTTGAACTTTACTACTCTATATTAGTTAATATGATTCAATTAAGGTGTGTGTAAGATGAAGAAAGGACACCCACCCTCAAGTTGAGATAAAATTACTTTCCATATGCCATCTCTTATAAGAGAAATATCGACATAGCATATAAATACATATTATTCATTATTTTTTTATAGTATTTTCCTGGTCGTGAACCAGTTATGACTTATCTTAAAAACTTATTATCAAAAGTGGACAATCAACCAAATGGTATCACTGGAAAAAAGTTTCGAGAATTTGCTGATATAAATACACCAGAAAGTTATTTACCAAATAATCAAGTTCGTTATCAATATTGTACAGGTTCTTTACCACGATATCGTGGTTATCCATGTGGACTTTGGCTTCTTTTTCATACATTAACTGTGTCACAAGTTCAATCAGGTTTTTTTTCCTTTGTCAATTCTCTTCATTTATATTCATTATTTATATTTAGAACCTAAACGAATGCGTATTATTGAAATTCCATCAGCTGTAAAAAGTTTTATCAAACACTTTTTTGGTTGTCGGCATTGTAGTGATAATTTTATGAAAGAAACAAGTGATTTTCATCAACTTGATTCTGGTGATAAAAATTCAGCAATAATTTATCTTTGGAAAAGTAAAATCTTGGTCTCGCATTTCTTTCCTTATCAATATTTTGTTTTTGTAGTTCATAATCATGTTAATAAACGTTTACATAGTGATGAAACTGAAGATCCAAAACATCCCAAAGTTCAATTTCCATCAGAAAATCTTTGCTCAAAATGTCAATCAGATAATAATAATTTTGATATGACAACAACACTCAATTTTCTTTTAAAATTTTACTCAAAAAATAATATTGACCTGACATCAGTAGAGGATTTTACGCCATCTGGTAATACACAAGATGAATTAACACGTAAACCTTCTATTGATCAATATGAAATGATTGAAATTAATAATGATTCAACCAAAAAATTTCGAAATATTCGATATATCATATCAATTATTCAACGTTTTCCATTCTATTTTCTAATATTTTCAGTGATTATTATTATTATTATTCGTAAACGATATTGTAAGGGAAAAAGAAAACGATATACACTATAGAAAAAATATTTATTTTAGGCGTAGTCTTTTTGAAAGATTTATTTTGTTTCATTCCACATATATCAAAATATAACATCTGGAAATAATGTACTTTCGTTTTTGTTTTTGTTATTTAGAAAAAAAATAATAGCAACATTATTTTTAAAATTGCTTATTGTAACGTAATATATAGTTTTTATTTATATTTTGTCTTTCTTTCTATTCCACCGATTTATATTTATGTGATGTATTTATTTTGTGACTCTATTCAAAAAACTTACAATATGTTGTTTATTTACTCCATCGATTATTTTTTGTTTTTGTTTGATTTTATGTTATTTTATTGTTGCTAGTTTATATTACATCTAAAAATGAATTAAGAAGAAATTTATGATGGAAAAAATCTTGAATTAGGAAATTTAGATTTTTTTTGAAAAAAAACAAAAATAGAAGAATGAATAAAATATTTTTATTTTAGATAAGTAGAAGTTGTGATGAGACGTTACATTATTTTATTATGGATATCTTGTTGAAATTAAATCGACGAGTTACACGCTATCTTAAACGAGCTATCATGGGGTAAAATTTAACAAAATAATCATTTATTGTTCGAATTTATTTATTTATTTCATCATAGATCAACATTTTTTTTTTACAGTAAGTAAGAGCTTAAATAAAAATCGAATAGTAATTAATTCACTCTCACGTCGTGCTTTCCGCTTCTTGATACGGTGTTTGAGAATCGACTGAAGATTTTCTCATTCGAGTGGTGTAGAAAGTTATCTATACTGATCTATTGAAATTATCAATATTAAAAAATTATTTTTATTTATGGATAAATTAGGATGAACAAGAAATTAACCGTCGAAGTAGTATTGCTGGAGCTTCTTATAATTTAATAAATTCAATTGTTGGATCAGGTGTTATTGGTAAATTTAATATTCTTTCATAATATTTCGATATGCAAAAAATATCTTTCACATAGGTATGAGCTATGCATTCCGACAGTCAGGTTATTTAGCTGGACTTGTATTACTTGGTATAGTCGCGATTTTAACTGGTAAGGAAAACTGGAGTGTATAAAATTGAAATTATTATTTTTTATTATTTAGATTATTCAACTACAATTTTACTTCGTTCAGGTCAGTTAGCAAAAGTAACAACATATCAAGAACTTGTTTATAATGTTCTTGGTAAATTCGGTTTTATATGGCTTTCATTAGTTCAATTTCTTTATCCATTTATCTGTCTTATTTCATATAATATTATCATCGGTATAGAAAAAATAACTAACAAACTAAATCTTATTATTATTATTTTAAAAATTTAAATTTATTTAAGGTGATACAGTAACTAAAGTTCTTCATCGTTTATGGCCAACAATACCTTATATATTTCAAGATCGTTATACAATTATTTTTCTTTGTTCTCTTTTTGTTACTTTACCATTATCACTTTATCGAAATATTGCTAAATTATCTCAGATATCACTTGCTGGTCTTATTCTTGTTGTAACAACAGTATTAATATTGATAAAACGTGGTTCTGATACGATACCATATATGTAAGTTGATTAGTTTAAAAATATTTCTTATTAATAAAATATTTAGATCACAAGAAACTCGTAATCTTCGTATGATAAATACAAATATTGCTGAAAGTATTGGTGTTATGGCGTAAGAAGAAAATAAAATTTAATCATCTTGTTGTTTTTTGAATATATATATATATATAGATTTGCTTTTATGTGTCAACATAATTCATTTCTTATATTTCATTCAATGACTGAAAAAACTCTACCACGATGGCGAGTTGTAACATTAATTACCACTACAATTGCATTTGC